CCCTAAGTTAGCAGACAAATTATTTTATTTTTACATTGACAAACCTGTATAACCTTGAAGCAGTATTAAGTTCATGTATTATCCCGCATATTATTACATGTACATTGAACTAAAACAAATTGTGGTCATTGTCAAAATTATAATTTACAGTTTACTTTTCCAATGCTTTTAATTTAAGATTAGGGCATTAGCTGGTCCCATATCAGATATATGATATTTGCCCGTCCAAAGTGGATGTGCTGCTTCGTTGCTTCTGGAGTCGACTGGATCCATATAAATCAAGCCTCAATTTATTCATTTTTCTCTTCATTTAAGTAAGTTTGATCAACCTGCCACCCGTTATCTTCTCATATTTGGACAGTTTTCACATTGACCCATCCAGTGGCGGATCCAGAATTTTTCATAAGAGGGTGCCCACTGACTGCCTAAGAGGGGGCCTGCTCCAGTCATGCTTCAGTGATTCCCTATATAATCAACCAAATTTATCCCACAAAAGGGGGGGGGGGCTGGGCCCCCTGGTCCCCCTAAATCCGCCTCTGCCATCAATACTGACATTTTAGAGGGTATGAATGCCCTTTACCGTTAGGCGTCTAACGGTCATTTTCGGCTACCGTTAGCGTCAAATATATTAACATTTTACCGTGATTTGTCAACATATCCTTATGATTCATCAGAGGTCTCAAATAATAATCGTTACCTTATTTTTGGCAAAAAATTAACGTGATTCGTCAAAATCTGTCAGTTTTTTTATCATCTTGAAGAAAGTCTTCATTTGATCGTCATGCACCAAAAATTACCGTTAACGTCATTTGGCAAGATTTTTCACCTTTATTCGTCATGAAGGTACCCCCATTACCACCCTCATTTTAACTTTCACTTTATAAGAATGTCACATGACCAACATTATGGGAACTGATTTATGCAATTGACCCTTATTCAATAGGAAAACAATCTATAAATCAAGCCTCAATTAGTTCATTTTTCTCTTCATTTAAATAAGTTTAATTGACCTGCCACCCGCTATTTTCTCACATTTGGACAGTTTTCACATTGACACATCAATACTGGTATTTTTACTTTAACTTAAAAAGAGTGTGACATCAGGGGTGAAACTTAACTTTGTAAGGCCAGTAGCCAGCTGGGTTACTAGACTTGAAAATCAGTTAGCCCAGACAAAAAGTTAGTAGCCCAATTTATTTCACTTTGAGTATCACTGGTGAAGCCCGCGTGCGGGCTGAACTTGCTAGGGGGGTTTGGGGGCATGCCCCACCCCCCCCCCCCCCCCCCCAAGAAAATTTTGAAATTTTAGACTCAAAACCCTGCATTCTGAGCATACCTGGAGGTGATTTAGATGCTTGGGAAAATGTAAATTTAGTCTTTTTTTTGTTGTTGACTTCAATCAAATTTAATAAAAAAAATAATCATTTACAAAATGGGAATCTTCATACCCTGTGTACCAGTTTTTTTTTTAATATTTTTAATATCTTTTTAAGACAACTAAAGAATTCTCTGTCCTTAAATACATGTAGATGATCGATGAAATATTTAATTTTATTTCTTTAATAATCTAATTTATTAAATATCTTGATCGATTTATTTTTCGTAACTACGTACATTTGTAAACAAATGACCCCCATTTTTTCTCAAAAGACTTGTACACTTATTTCAAAAGCATTGTCATAAAATTGATATCTCCTGTGATTTTCTCTTTTTTGTAAACTGTTCAGTAAGTAGGAAACTAAAATCATTTTGAACTAATGTTATTTATTTGTGGTCGACAATATTCTTCTTTCGTTTTTGACCTTCATTCTCTGAACACCACGTGGGCTTTGAAAAGGGAACTACAAAAGGTACTGTTTTCTAGATTCTTATATATAATATAACATTATATATTATACATTCTTTTATTTGACTGATATTATTTCATAACATGCTATTGTCATCTTCTCTGAATTTCTTCGCTTTCTTGAAGCCAAAACCGAACAGGGTATTTGATCGCTTCATATTGTAAATGACCATCGGAACGTCTCTCTTGTTATCCTTGCAAACATACAATAATTTCCGGACTTTAAATAGACGACCAATCAGTGACCTGAATTAATGTGAACTATATTTAGTCAAAGGTAAACTCTGCTTTTACATCCTTGTTTATCGCAACCGCGACTTTGCGACAATACGACTCCAGACACTTGCCTGTATACATTTTAAAAAGATTTTTTTTCTTTTAGAATTTATATTTTTGTCAGTGAAGTAGCCGGCACTTGGAGCCACGGTAAACAGCTGATTTCCATCTGTCGGGTACTTTGTTTTCAATTCGCCACCTGGGCTACCACAACTGAATAAAAAGATCGCTCAGGTCAATTTCTGGTCGCCATGGGCGTCCGTTAAGTTTTTTCCCTGGACATGACCAACAGAAAAAGTAATTTTCAATGCATTATGGGAGCTGATTTATGAAAATGACCCTTATTCAATAGGAAAACATAATCTAACACCTCGTTCATTTATGATGCAAATAAGCTGAATGGCCGAGTGTGTTCAATTTGAAAATAAAAGAGTTAAAATGCAGGAATCGCAAAAACAGATGTTGGACATCAGAGTAATCTCGGCCTATGAGTATGAGTTTTAGGCAATTTGTAGTGGGGAGGGTTCAAGGGAAGCAAATGCTCTTTATAATAATAATAATAATAATAAATTCTTTATTTAAAGAGGGTAAACTCAGTTAGTTACAATAAACTAATCTTCCCTGAGGCCCTCACATACAAATTACAATACAATCAAAAACAGATATTTACACATAGTTAATTTACAGTCAATTAGTCAATGTAATATTACTAACATGATAAGATATAAGGCTGTTCAAGATGTACATGTAGTCAAAAAATCAAATACAAATAAAAATAAAAGAATATACAAATACATTGTAGAAAATATAATCTTATCAGGACTGTGTTAAGTACTTCTTGATACTTTGTTTAAAAGTATAAGTGTTTATAAATTCTATATAATTCTTTAAATTATGCATGTTTCAAAAATTGGGGAAAATTACAGCGTTGAGTCATTTTTTTCAGACTTAATTTAAATAATGACTAATGTAGACTTACCTTCTAATTCTATAAAAAAATCACAACTACTGAACAGGAACAATCATGGTACTTTTTTGTCTATGAAACTACACTATGACATCTGATCTTCAAAACCTACAAACAGACACAGAAATATCATCAAATAGTGAAATATAATATTGATTGCACCTTGTATGGATAGTTCCGACACGTGTTGCATGGGGAGCCCGTTTGTTTACAAATAATAATGTCACGTGATCACGCACTGACCGTCACAAATTTTTATCCTCCGCCATTACTCGTATTACACAATATTACTGTACTTGCACAATTCACAAATGCTTATTAATGAAGATTGAAGATTGAAGACAAATGCATAACCCATTATCTTGCGGACATGCAATGGGAATGTGCACGGTTATCAAAAACTACAAAAATATTGCATGTACAGTTAATGAAGAAGTTATTTCATCAAATAGAAATTTAGATAAGATTTTCACTCATGTCATGACATAAATTGACTGGGTGCCATCGCCATCGGGGATAATTGATAAATGGGATTAAATTGACCGCCAAGAAGGTGTAGATAACCACCTCTGGAGAACCTTAACATTAATAAGTAATACTCACCAAAATTTCTCTATAATTAACGCTATTTTCTGTTGGAAAATTTCAGAAAGATGCTGATAAACTTATTTGGTGACACAGATTATTTTCTTGTTTAGGCGCGAAATATATTCTTACTCTTAATGCTTGACGTAACAAAATTTGTATATAATTATATTTTACTAAAGCTGAGCGTAAATATGCAGAAGCATGACAATACATTAATGATAAAATGTGTAAATATTTCTGTAAAAGAATATAATTTAACTTTCCCAGTATACTTCACTTAGAATTACATTTGAGCGCAAGAAAGTCTCCTTGTGAATAGGCCCTGGGTCGAAGTTCAACATACAATGTATCAACGGAAATTTTTGCGTGTGCTTGCGTTGCTTTACATCGAGGCTACAGCTTTTCAACCAATCGGGGAATGTTTACCTAGGGCATACATCTATTTTTACTGCAGGTTTTGACATGTTTAAACTCGGGATTATAGAAAAATGGAATGTTGTTGGTAAATACAAAACAGAAAATGATGAACACTTTTAGCAAAAGATAAATTGGATCGGGGGTCTGTGAATTCACATCATTTGTACAACTCTCCTTACTCTTGGGAAGCGTGTGCTTTACATCGAGGCTTGCGTTGCCTTACATCGAGGCTTACATTGACGCCATAGTAGTTCAACCAATCGGGGAATGTTTATTTGGGGCATACATCTATTTTTACTGCAGGTTTTGGCATATTTTAATCGAAATTAGAGAAAAATGGAATGATGTTAGGAGATATAAAACAGAAAATTATAAATATTTTTAGCAAAAGATGAATTGGATCGGGGTTCTGTGTATTCACATTATTTGTACAACTCTCCTTACTGATGGCAAAAAATGGAATTTCCGTGACCTAAATGGTTCGCGAAAATTAATATTTTTATATATATATAGTAATCAGGCTGTTAGTTTTCTCTCTGGAATTGTTTTACATTTCTCATTATTAGCCTTAAAGATAAAAGTTTATTACAAGTTAAATATTATTAATGATCCATGACAATGAGGTCAAGGTCAGATAAACCAAGCTAGACAGACTAGTACACCTTACAATCATACCATAAACCAAATAGACATTTATAGACATTTTGTTTATAGTATCTTAGAAGAGGATCCAACATTTGAAACATTCCACTGACTTATGATCCATGAACATGAGTTCAAGGGCAGATAAAACATGCCAGTCAGACATGTAAACTTTACCATCAATCCAAATGATAGCATCTTTGGTGTTCATTATATTTCATTAGGTAAATGTTGTCACTTTTTAAACAAATTGAAAACTCAACACAGTTTTAATCATTTTATAGTTCATAACTTGTTTGTTTTGCACCATTGAAAATATTTACAGCTTTTTCTTGTTCAATGAAGTAACTGTCATCGCTATATGAATTTCATTAATGCATCCAAATTTGATTTAGTCATCATCCACAGCAAATTTCAAAGATCATTCATAGTGCTGAATCTCCTCTCTTCTCCTGCTATTGATGGTAGAATTAGTAAGCAATAGTAGTGTAATGTAATCTAAAGGGCTGGAGTTATAGCTCTGGAGAACATTGTAAATATCAGTATCATATATATACTTCATGAATGGTTCTCTGCATCTTATTTTCCTAAAAAGATATGACACAAGATCAGATTTATTAATTGGAGACACACATTATGTATTTGAAGAATTACTGCATGCTTTTACTCTTTTAATTGCTTGGAATTTGACTATATGAAGCATTAGGTTTAGACTGTTAAAACTGTATATTGATATGTTCCTTTGGTTATTTTTGTAGTTGAGTTGCTGTCTCATGGGACCCCACATCTCTTCAAACAGTGTTAGCTCCATTTAATGATCTTCAAAAAGGTTCATATGAAAGCTAAAATCAAAAAGGTTATCGTGTATAAAAGTGCTTTACTTCTTCCAATTAAAGAGAGGTGTATCAAAATGCATTGAACAAAGTTAAAACATTATATTTTTCATAAAATATGTCTAAATAAAAAAGTTAAAGACTTAAATTATATTAAATGTTTTTATGGAAACTTAAGACAGGACCATATGTATATACATTAATTTCTTAAAGCCTTACAATTTCAGCTTTTAAAATCTTAGGGCATGGAAAGTCTCCTGTCCTTTGACAAATGAAATTATTCTCCTTTAGTTGTCCTTTGACAAATGAAATTATTCTCCTTCAGTTGTTCTTTGACAAATGAAATTATTCTCCTTTAGTTGTCCTTTGACAAATGAAATTATTCTCCTTCAGTTGTTCTTTGACAAATGAAATTATTCTCCTTTAGTTGTCCTTTGACAAATGAAACTATTCTCCTTTAGTTGTCCATCATGTCCATAGATCTGTGGTAACTTTTTGCAACTCCATCATGTAAAAAAGAAGTGCTAGAAAAATACAAGTAATGGAATAATCAATAGTTATAAAATGTAGAATTTTGAGTCACAATTTATCATTATAAATGGTTAATTTTAATAAGTATACAATGAATAAGGTCTCTGTTCTAATTTGCATGGTGGCAAAATAATGAATAATAGCCCACAGCCATAATATTGATGGTTATTATAAACAAATGAAATTATATTCACTCATTGTCAAACATGGTTGTGGTTGAAACAAAAAAAAAAAAATTACATAATTACTACGGTATTATTTCTTTAATCGATAAGTTCATCATAAATATTTTGCAACTTTCTATGATCTAGAATACCAAAATATCACTAACCAGTGAGTTGTGGAATGCATGCTTGTAGAGTTCTCGAAATCTTTTTTTCCCTGGTGGTTCTACAAGAAAACCTGCTGGTCCTCACTATAATTTCTGTTGCAAAATAATAACCAAAGTTGTGACGGTCCTTTAAAAAGTTTGGTGGTCAAATCTTTGGACCACCAGTTTTTCGAGAATTCTGTGCTTGGTTACATTATAAATGATTAAATCAGCTTGTAAATGAAATGAACTATATGTACATGTTGTTATTGAAATTCTATTGGTTATTTCAAAGTCATTTAATCAAGTATAGATTCACCATATCATTAAATTTATCAAAAAAAAGCAACATGCAGTAATTATACCTCTGTTCAAAAAATCTTCATATTCAGCACTCATCAAGTATAATGTCCACTTTGCTACATTCCATTGTTTGTTTTAATTTCTCTTCAAGATGTGCAAAATTGATCTGGAATAAATATTAAATCTTTAAATGACAAAATTGTAACTTTAAAGTAAAGGGACTGTCAACAACAAACAGACATATCTACAAAAAAGTAATGCATGTACTTGAGTTATACAAGGACGTATAACTAACAATATATGTCCTTGAGTTATATAATGCAGTTTTTTTAATTTCTTTAAAGGTAGTTTTAATAAATGAAGTATTTGAAAGTATATTTACAAATGCTCATTACTTCAGATACATGTATATTGACCTAGATTTAAAAATTTAACACATGCATAATTATATAATTTTAAACATGTTTGTACATAAATAATAACACAGTTGCTTGAATTTTAGTGATAAAAATATGATTTTTTTTTTTAAATATTTATACCACTATTTTTTAAAATTTTCTTCATATTTTTATCACTAAAATTCAAGCAACTGTAATAATAATAATAATCATATTAATATATACATTTAAAAATAATAATAGTGTTTTTTGGGGTTATAGAAGCTACCAGTAATTGTCCTGCAGCATGTGTTTTTAGTTGTAATTTCTGTCCTGCCTTTTTAATTTTCACTCTATAAGGTCCTGATTTTTTTATGGTATTCTGACTATTTTAACATAAATAATTTGTCATCCTGCCTTATTTTGCAAATTGTCTCATCCTTCTATTTTTTTACTCAGTCATAACTCCTGTCCTGCCTTTTTAAAAAATTTCATCACAAGTAATGCATATAACGTTATTTTCCGTGCAGAAATCGGAGTGTGTGTTGTATAGATATAAGATATATAAGATATATATAACAGTCTGTAGCTCTTGATGTTACTTCCAACCTGCACCAGGCATGATGCTTGCTACTTCCTCCGTGTGTTTTTGTCTAGTGTTACCGCAAGGGAACCTCAAGTCATGAAAGTTTCCGAAAAAATCCAGCTCGCGTGTTTGCATATTTGGACACGCCTTCGCATTACAATCATTCGAACCGATTGGATCCAGACTCTACATATATGCATATGGAGCGTCTGGATAATCGAGACTACATTGGTGACGGGTAACTCTACAGACTAAAAACTGTTGAAGGAATTATATGTTCTGCATATGGACGCAAGATATAGTTTGAAAGATTTCTGGAACCCAGATTTAAAGTTGAACTGCAAAGGGTTAGTTTTTCTTTTTATTTTATCAAAATATTTGAAATGTTTTTAAGTTTTTGGTGTTAATTTATAATTCTGTGGAAATTTAATTCACAAGAATTTTTCTGAGAGTTTGGGTGAATCATTCCATGTTTTAATTTGTACCAGAAGCCCAAGTTGTACATTTGATTTAATTTAATTCAATTCAAAAGGATTTCAAAATGATCACGATTAAAGATCATTAAAAATCACATTTAGACTATAGATATTAAATTTAAACAAAAAGTTCACCTTTATTTAGAGTAACCAGACGCTTTCTATTCTTAACGGCCCAACATTATAGTTATTACTTAAGCAAATCGTTAAATTAAGATGTATATAAAATCTGATACGGATCCAGGATTTTGAAAAGGAGAGGGGGGGTCTAGCCATCCAACATTTGGAGTAATAATACGAATTATCTATGCATTTACCATGTATAAAGGGCATGCCTTCTCCCTCCCTCCCCCTTAAAAAAGCCACCACGGCAAATTTCAACCTTTACATGTAGCTATACAGTTGAGCCTAAGGGACTACAATCCAAGTATACATCTCAATAACCGAAAATCGAATCATATTTTCAAGTATAATATAATAATAATATATTTATATATATACTTTTTTTTAAACTTTGTTCTTGAATCGAATTTTCATTCATTTAAAAATATAGGACAACGGAGTTGGTGTATGTTGGTTCGATTCCCACCCTATGCATTCATTTATATCGGCTGGTGCAAAGCGGGCAGTTTAGCTTAGTGGCCGCACACTGACTCTGTTGTTCCTATTTCAAAAAAATCAGGCGACCTCGAGTAGGCCTTGCTATCTTTCTTTTTTTTCTTTTCGAATACCAAATACAACAAAACCATGGTATAATTGTGAACATTATACCATAGATAGCTATGGTACAATTTTCGGTTATTGAGATTTATACTCTTGTTGCATTCCCATAGGTTACATAGTACAGCTATAGGTTAATATTCTGGTAAACTGTTTCTCACATATAGCTCTCTATCAGTTCGACATTACGATAATATTGGAATTTTAAACCAACCCTGTTTCTGGACGATGTCCTATCGGGGACAACTGACCAATAGAGATTATTTAAATAGGATATACATTTTCGCTTTCTTTATTTACACTACTTAAAATATACGATACGCTGTACTTTTGAATGTGATCGCTAGTAAGTGAGATAAATCTGCTCTGTGTAAGGAATTACTGTTTTATCATTGAAAGGAAGACATGGATAACAATCGGAGAAAATCGATCGCTGTTTTAGGAGCCGGTGTCGTAGGTTTATCTTCAGCAATCAATATACAGAAACTCTACCCCCGGGCAGAGGTGACCATTATTGCTGACAAATTTAATTCTGACACAACAAGTGATGGGGCTGCAGGAATATTCAGACCAACTAGTATCAAAATTAATGGGGATACGGCAATAATTAGGTAGGTTTAATATTCACATTATTAATTATGTTGACTTTGGCAGAGCACATTCAAGGACAACACAACATTCACTGCACTTGTTGTTGTCTAATTATACTACTAAAACAATTTATATTTATAATCTGCACATGATTAGTGCGTGATCTAGGAGCAAGGTTGATTTCAGATGCTAATCTTCATAATTTTTGAAAAGCGTATGACAACAGTAAATGAAATAGCTGAAGTGACACTATGTACGAAGAAGAATTAAAAAAAAAGGAGAAAAAATGGGGCATCATTTGAACCATAATTTTTCAATCGCATCGTTCTGGTTAAAAAAGAAAGCTAACCACAGCTAGGTTAAAAAAATATGCTTCCCGTGTTATACATTTCTACTGTGAATAATTTCCAACCAAAAGTGTTACACATAATAGGTACAGTTCGGGTTATAATAATTTTATGTATACTGCACTCGTTCTATTTGAGCAGTCAAAATGCGTTGACTGTATATTTCTGTCATATACAGTCACTGACCCGATATGACTTTTCCTCATGAATATTCAAATAGTACAGCCGAAACTATTTTTAATTATTCATGACGACCTCTTCAACCTGTCCTTGTTTCCAATGAATATGTACAACGAAGCAATTTTTGGAAAAGCATATTTCGCTTGTTAATATTTTTTGTTTGAAACCTAGAAATCATTATGTTTATGCTTATTGTTGATATTTTAGACCATACTCAAACGAATTCGTTCACCATCGATTGGTTTCAACAGGTTATGTACATTTCATTGTGCAGTGTTGTATATTTCTCCGCCAGGTATGAGGACTTTTTAAAGGGGGATTTTTCCCGATATTTAAATCGAATAAATAACATTAACACAATAAACAACAATTGAAAATGTTTTTATCTAGATTGCAGTATAAAGACAATAAAAGTGTATTGGCTTGACATATCAACGATATAAGGATTCGGCCCGAAACGGGGAAAAAGCTCGACAGAGCCTCGCATTTCCCCGTTTCTAAGCCTCATCCTTATATCGTTGATATGTCAAGTCAATGCACTATTAGACCTTTTCAACAATTGTCTACACCTACAGCTGAAAACGACTACGACAGGTAAGATGTAAGTGGTCGTCTCAAAGTAGTAATGGTTGTATATAATGGTTACCAGTAACTGAATTGAAAGGATTTATTTGTTGCCTATATGTATTTACCACAACGATATTTTTTTCTTTTTTCTGGTTGTAAACCATTAACTGATTTAAATTCTTTAATTTTATTTTTGAATTGAGTATGAATGAGGGTCTTGATAGGGTTTACAGAATAGACATAAATGGACCAATACTACAGAATCGTGGGGCAAAAAAAATAAAGAATAGAGAAAAATAGGCAAAAAACAAATAAAGAATAGAAAACAATGGGGTGCTAAATTATAAAGAATAGAGAATAATGGGCAAAATAAATAAAAATAGAAAATGGCTTAAAAAGTAAGAGAATACAGAATTGATGGGACCCCATCATGACCCCCATGAATGAATAAAAAGGAGATCTTTAATATTCTATGCAATATTTTTAGAAGATGAGATTAAAGCTACTTTAAACTAGGAAAATGAAAAAAAATAAAAGTAGTTTAAATATTCAAACAGACAATTGTTTTATGTATATTGACATGGGCGGCACATTTCTGTACAAAGGCTTTATTTTTGGACTCAAGATTCCTTCGTAATGTACTTTATACTTAGCAGGGTTTTTTTTTAATTCACTCATACTATGTTCAATATAAATTTGTATTCAGTGACAAGTTGTACAGAACATTTAGATAAAGCGAATGTCCTATTTCATATTTTGGTTATATTTTGTTTTTAATTCAAAAAGCACAAAACAGACTTTGACAATAATGGGAAAAGGCAGACACGGGTTATGGACACGGCACGAATAATGCATAAAATCACACAATGCAACACATAAAACAGATATTTAGAGTTACCGTGTGATCTTCAATACTGTCGGGTAATCATTACCAAGCAGCGAGATCTGATCGGCCCCGACCCCAAAAATAAGAGATCAAATCCAATGCCGCAGCATAATATTGTAAAATAAAAATTCTTCAGAGAAAAGAATATACCAACATATTCCGGGCTTGGAACAGTCGCATAACATATTCGTTGGGGGTTTTACTTATAAAATTAGATCCCTTATGTTTGGTCAGAGGTGAAATAAAAAGACAATTGGGAAGCATGGTGAAACTAGATAAGAGTAGAAAACCGAAGCGTAGATCGACAAAAGGGAAAGTCAAGAAACAAAAACAAATCCGGGGACAAGAGAAAAGGGCAATTTATAAGTTATATGAGTAAAAACTGACACGGCGTGACGCTTAAACGCAAGTGCTTCGACAGGCTATGTAGTACTAGCTTCTGACAAGACACTAAACGTGTTTCTCGTAAATGTTATGCCCGGTAACGGAGAAAATGTATCAATAACAAAGGGACAACTTATAACAGTCAATTATATTTAATATGTACAGGAGTATAGTGAAGATTTGTTGAGAAACGCAACATCTACGATGTCCACAAGTGTGTTTTGGACGCGTAACGGACAGACAAAAGTCTCGTTACAATGTCCTCTCCGTAACTTAATTACTACGGGGATGATAAAATGTAGAGTCAAAAAATAACATTCCAAAAACGAGTTAACGGCTATATATTGGCAAGCGGTGTGGTCTTCCATGGAAAACTCGTACAACTAAATATTAATAATGATATTACCGGAAAAGCAATGGATTCGGATGTGAATAGATTGCCGATATTTTTTTTTTATTTTTTTTTTTTTTCGATTTATAGAATTGAAAGAGAAATGTTTTATAAATAAATGCTTACATATTATAAGTTTTATATGAAAGAAAGGAAAAAAACACAGAAAATCCACAATAGCTATATTTGCTTAATATCCGTCCTTTTTTCAAAATAATACCGTTCAAATCGAATGTGTACGGCGCAGAGCTCCAGATAAGAATTCACAAATTGGGGTTTTTACCCACCATTTTTTTATGTAATTGGGTGATAAAGTTTTTTAATTGCATTATCAATTCCAATTCACCCCTCAAGCAAATATCAAATTGGGTTTTTCACCACAAGCTCCTTAATGTATTGGGTTTTTTCATCAACACAATATTGAATATTTAGGCATGTTATAATCACATTATATCAACCCCAGATGTGTTTCCATCTTAAATGTGTTTCTTTCTTTGTAGAATATGTGCTAGCTGTTTTATTTGGTTTATTCACTGACGAGCAATTGTACATTTAATTTGTGTCCCGTTTTAAACATTCTGTCAGTTTTGTATTTTCTCAAAACTTATGTAAACTGCAGCTGGTGTCACTAGTTGGACAGGAACTAATTGCATGCCTTTCTAGATCCCATATGATCACCCTACAGTTTAATTATAGTTGGGGTAGGTGTGGCTAAGTGTTTAGATTTTTGTGTAATATATGTGAAATTTAGGTGCTGTAAGAAAGTTTTGCCAGTCCTTTCACCTATTTGCCAGATCTACTTTTTAATAAAAATAAAAAGTAGTTTCCAGATTTAAGATATACCCCCAAAACCTTGAGGTTTATAGGCCGTGGATTATAATGACGGAGACCACATTCAACTTAAATTTACAAATAATTCTGCAACATCAAGTAAATAAATGACAATGTTATACTGCACTTGCCAATAAGACAACTATCTTAAGCATCTAGAACAATTAGACCAAAAACAAAGAAAGTGTCAAGCTGCATTGACGTAAACAACGGATATGTGTATTCACTCATCAACTAAAATGAAAAAAATAATATATAAACTGTTTTCGTTTAATTCAATTTACATAAATCTGGGTTAAGTTGTCCCTTATCAGAACTTTTGGTTTCCGATGCTTTCAAACTACATATCATGTCATAATTGATTTGGCCTTTCACTTTTTCCAACTGATTTCGTTCAAGTTTTGACGGAACCCCGTGTTTATCGCTCTAGCAATGTTCTCGTTATGGTTAGCAAACACGCCCGTGCGTTCAATGGCTGCTTCCTAAAATCACTAGCTGAGTCTTGTTATCATCATAACTTTCCCTCAGCTATCAAAAAGAAGCCGAAAACATGCTTCTATTCAATATTTTTACCGGACATTTACTTTCGTTTTAATTCATTGTATGTTATGATAAATCCCGAGCAATTCGAAAAAATATGACAGCATGTCACACGCTAATTGGATAAACGCCGAGAAGATCGAAATGTTTTCATAAACACGTGTACCTTTTGAGCAACGGAAAATTCCACCAGGGACCCATTACAGCTACTTGATGCAGGGCTCTATTTTTAGAACGAAAGGACATTTCCAATTATAAATATTATAAAAATAGATTTCCGCGACGACTGTATTCAAGTAAGGGTAAATAACGCAAACGATAGCGAATAAAAGCGTTAAGAACCCATGTTTTTGGCATATAATTGGGTTTTCTTTTGAATTAATTGGGTTATTGAACCCTGCAATGGGCAATTGCATTGGGTTTTTAATTATTTTTATTGCGTGATCACGCAAATACGCAGCTTATCTGGAGCTCTGGTCCACTACGTATATGTTATGTATGTTATACCTGAAAGATTTTTATCTTTGATACGGCGACCCCTCTATTTTTCCAGTAAACTTTAGGTGTCAATAGTCGGTATCGAGAGTTGTTGAAAAGGTCTATTATTGTCTATGTATTGTTTTCTACACAATTCAATACGGATAGTGTGTAGACCCCCCCTTTTCCTCCTTCTAAAACAAGGGTACCACCACCCACCCCAAATACAGCCGAGAACTGAATGTAAAGTGCTTAACGTCACAGTACCCAAATTGCACCTATTTAGCAAAAAAGCAGCGGAAATCTAACAAGTTTGTTTTAGAGACTAAACAATTTGTATTTTTATGATTTGACATTATGCACGTCTTTCAACATAGCTAATTATATGTAGATATGCACAAAACTTTCACAGTATAT